CTTTTTTAAAAAGTTTAAAAAAGGGAAGTATAATCCATATGCTAAGAGAGAAAATGGAGTCATAGAAGATGTTCGAATAAAACCACAAAAGGCAGAAAAAGAGTGGAAGACAAAAACAAGAACAAACAAGGACAAGTAGAAAACAATAACAAATATAATAGATATTTATCCAACTATATCAATAATCATGTGGAATGTCAATAGTCTAAATGCACCAATTAAAAAGAGAGAGAGAGAGATTGTCAGGGCGGATAAAAAAAGACCCAATTACATGTTGTGTACAAGAAACTCACTTTAAATTTTCTTTTTTTTTGAACGTTTATTTATTTTTGGGACAGAGAGAGACAGAGCATGAACGGGGGAGGGGCAGAGAGAGAGGGAGACACAGAATCGGAAACAGGCTCCAGGCTCTGAGCCATCAGCCCAGAGCCTGACGCGGGGCTCGAACTCCCGGACCGCGAGATCGTGACCTGGCTGAAGTCGGACGCTTAACCGACTGCGCCACCCAGGCGCCCCAAGAAACTCACTTTAAATATAAAGAGTTATACATGAAAAGTTAATGGATGAAGAAAAATATACCATGCTAACAATGTTCAAATGAAAGCAAGAGCAGCTATATTAAATTCAGAGAGAGAGTAGATATCAAAGCAAGGACAGTTACTGGGGATAAAGTAGGGCATTACATAATGATAAAGGGGTCAATATTTCAAGAAGACATAACAATCCTTAATATGTCTGTACCTAACAACAGAGCATCAAACTATGTAAGGCAAAAACTAATAGAATTGCAAAGAGAAATAGATGAAACCACTATTATAGTTGGAGACTTCAACACCCCTCTATCACAAAGGGACAGATTCAACAGGCAGAAAATCAGTAAGGATATAGTTGAACTCAACAACACCATCAATCAACTGGATATAATTGACATCTATAGACTAGTTGATCCAACAATAACAGAAAACATATTTTCCTCAAGATCACATAGAACATTCTTCACTATAGGCCATATTCAGAGCCATAAAACAGATCTTAACAAGTTAAAAAGAATAGAAATTATACCATGTCAGCTCTCAGACCATAACAGAATTAAACCAGAAAGCGATAACAAAAGGATAAATGGAAAATTTCAAAATACATGAAGATTAAATAATACACTTCTAAATAAGACATGGGTCAAAGAAGAAATCTCAAGAATAATTTGATACTATTTTGGGTTAAATAAAAATGAAAACCAGCTCATGAAATTTATGAGGTATAGTGAATGTAGTGCATAAATGGAAATTTATTGAATGTGTATATTAGAAGGAAGAAAATTAAAAAATAGTAATTTAAGCATCCACCTTATGAAACTAGAAAAAGATGAGTAAATTAAATACAAAGTAAGCAGAGGAAAATAAATAATAAAAATTAGAGCAGAAATCTATGAAAATGAAAACAAGAAATCAATACACAAAGTCAATTAAGCCAAAACTGGTTATTTGAAAAGATCAGTAAGTCAGTAAGCCTCTAGCCAGGTTAACTATGAAAAGAATACCGAAGACGCAGATTACTAATATCTGAAGCAAACGAAGGGAGGGGCAGCTGGGTGGGTCAGCTGCTTAGGCATCCAACTCTTTTTTTTTTTTTTTTCAACGTTTTTTTAGTTATTTTTGGGACAGAGAGAGACAGAGCATGAACGGGGGAGGGGCAGAGAGAGAGGGAGACACAGAATCGGAAACAGGCTCCAGGCTCCGAGCCATCAGCCCAGAGCCTGACGCGGGGCTCGAACTCACGGACCGCGAGATCGTGACCTGAGCTGAAGTCGGACGCTTAACCGACTGCGCCGCCCAGGCGCCCCAGGCATCCAACTCTTAATCTCAGCTCAGGTCTTAATCTCAGGATCGTGAGTTCAAGCTCCACATTGGGTTTTCCACTGGGCATGAAGCCTACTGAAAAAGAAAGATTTTAAAATAAGAAAAAGAAAAGAAAAGAAAAGAAAAGAAAAGAAAAGAAAAGAAAAGAAAAGAAAAGAAAAGAAAAGAAAAGAAATGAAAGAGGGTACATCAGCACAGATGCTATGGACATTAAAAGGCTAATAAAAGAATACTATGAACAACTCTATACCCACACATTTGATAACCTAGATGAAATGGACCAATTCCTTGAAGGACCCAATTTGCCAAAACTGACACAAAAACAAATAGGCAAAGTGAATAGGCCTATATCCATTAAAAAAAATTGAATCAATAATTAATAACCTTCCAAAACAGAAAGCACCAGACGCAGATGGATTCACTGGTAAATTCTACCAAACATTTAAGGATGAAATTATACCAATTCTCTACAATCTGTTTCAGAAGATAGAAGCAGAAGAAATACTTCCTAACTCATTATACGAGGCCAGCATTACTCTTATATCAAAACCAGGTAAAGATATTATAAGAAAAGAAAACTACAGATCAAAATCTCTCATGAAAATCGATGCAAAAATTCTCAATAAAATATTAGCAAATTGAATCCAGCAATGCACAAAGAGAATTATATACAATGACCAAGTGGGGTCTCTCTCAAGTATGCAAGACTGGTTTAACACTCAAAAATCGATTAATATAATCTGTCACATCAACAGATTAAAAAAGAAAAATCACATGATCATATCAATAGATACAGAAAAAGCTTTTGACAAAATCCAACACCCATTCATTATAAAAACTCTCAGTAAACTAGGAATTTCCTTAACTTGATAAAGGAAAAAAACTAGAGCTAATATAATATCATAATATAATCATATCATATCATATCATATCATATCATATCATATCATACTTAATGGTGAGAAACAAACCTTTTCCGCTAAGATGAGGTACAAAGAAAGGATGCACCTTCTCACCACTCTTTTGCAACATCACACAGGAAATTCTAGCTAATGCAATAAGGAAAGAAAATAAAATATGTACAGACTTGGAAGGGAGAAATAAAATTGTTTTCCTTTGCAGATGTCATAACCATCTATGTAAAAAAATCTGAAAGGCAGACCAAAAAAGCTCCTGGAACTAGTAATTTTAGCAAGGTTACGAGATATACAAGGTTACTATACAAAAGTCAATCACTTTCCTATATACTAGCAATGAACAAATGGAATTTGAAATTAAAAATTCAACATCATTTATATTAGCACCCGCCAAAATGAAATACTTAGGCATACGTTTAACAAAATACGTACAAGATATAGATGAGAAAAACTATAACCTTTGATGAATGAAATAAAAGAAGAACTAAATAAATGGAGAGAGATCCCATGTTCATGGATAGGAAGATTTACTATTGTCAAGATGTCAGTTCTTCCCTTGGAATGTCTGGGTGGCTCAGTTGGTTAAATGTCCAACTCTTGATTTCAGCTCAAGTCATGATCTCACAGTTGGGAGATCAAGCCCCATGTTAAGCCCCACATTGGGTTCTGCACTGGGCAAGGAACCTGTTTAGGATTCTCTCTCTTTTTCTCCCTCTGCCCCTCCTGTAATCACATGTGCTCTTGAAAGAAAGAAAAGAAAGAAAGAAAGAAAGTCCGTTCTTCCCAATTTAATCTATAGATTTAATGCAATCCTTATCAAAATATCAAAATATCAGCAAGTTATATTATGGGTATCAACAAAGTCACTCCAAAGTTTACATAAAGAGGCAAAAGACCCAGCATGACCAACACAATATTGAAGGAGAACAAAGTTGGGCAACTTTAAGACTTACTATAAAGCTACACTAATCAAGACAGTGTGGTATTGGCAAAAGAATAGACAAATAGATCAAAGGAACAGAATTAAGTTCCCAGAAATAGACTCACATAAATATAGTCAATTAATCTTTGACAAAGGAGCAAAATGCTGTACAATTGAGCAAAGATTTTTCCTTTCCACAAGTGGCACTGGAACAACTGGACAACCACATACAAAAAAAAAAAAAAAAGGAATTTAGACAAAGGCCTTACATTCTTCACATAAATTAGCTAAAAATGGGTCACGGACTATGTAAATGTAAAACTAGAAAACTCCTGGAGGGTAATATAGAAGAAAACCTATATGACCTTGGGAATGAGGCAACTTTTTAGATACAACACTAAAGGCACAATCCATGAATAAGATAATTGGTAAGGTCGACTTATCAAAATTAAAAAAAACTTTTGCTCTGTGAAAGACAATGTCATTGGAATGGAAAGATAAGGTTACAGACTGGGAGAAAATGTTTGCAAAAGACACATTTGGTAAAGGACTGTTCTCCAAAGTACACAAAGAACACATAAAATTCAACAGAAAGAAAGCAAACAGCCTGATTAAAAAATGGGCCAAAAATTTTAAGATACCTAACCAAAAAAGATGTATAGATGGCTAATAAATATATGAAAGTACTTTTGACATCATATTTTATTAGAAAATGGCAAATTAAAATGAGATAGCACTACACACCTATTAGAATGGCTAAAATCCAAAACACTGACAACACCAAATGCTGGCAACAGTGTGGAGCAGCAGGAACTCTCATTCATTGCTGGTGAGAATGCAAAATGGTACAACTACTTTGAAAGACAGTTTGACAGTTTCTTACAAACTACACATACCTTTTAATTTATTTTTATTTTTATTTTAAAAACTAAACATAATCTTAACATACAGTCTACCAATCATGCTCCTGGATATTAACTCAAATGAATTCAAAACTTATGTCCGTCCACACAAAAACCTGCACATGGTATATATAGCATATTTATTCATAATTGCCCAAACTGGGAAGCAATCAAGATGTCCTTCAGATAAAGAAACTGCCGTAAACCAAAACAACACAATAGTATTCAGTGATAAAAAGAAAGGAGCTATCAAGCTATGTAAAGACATGGAGGAACCTTAACTGGATATATGCCCAGTGAAAGAAACCAATCTGAAAAGGCTACATATCATATGATTTCAAATATTTGACACTCCAGAAAAGACAAAACTATGGAGACAGTAAAAAGATCAGTGATTGGAAGTTTGGGGTTTGGGGTGAGAGATGAATAGGCAGATCACAGAGGATTTTTAAGGCAGTGAAACTATTTGGTATGGTATTTATAATGGTGGATACATATAGTTACACATTTGCTAAAACCCGTAGAGTGTATAACACTAACACTGAACCTTAATGTAAACTATGAACTTTGGGTGATAATGATATATCAGGGTAGGCTCATAACATCAACCATAACAAACATATTACTCTGGCGGGGGCGGGGGGGGATGTCAATAGTGGGGCAGGTGGTGCATGTGTGGGGAAGGGGAGTAGTGAATTCGTTATGCTTTCTGTTCAATTTTATTGCGAACCTAAACCTTCACTAAAAAATAAAGTTTGTTAATTTAAAACGATGTACTTCCATTAGGGTCAAGTAGGAGCAAGCAAGTATCAAAGCCTCTTTCCTAGCTGTTCTGCCAGCTGTGGAGGCAACACCCTGTGTTTCCGAGGATGGCCTGAATTCAGCCCAATTTCCAGAGTGACAAGGAGGAGATGAGAAAAAAAGGTGATTTGGCCAGGAGTTTGAAGCTGGGATGCCCTGTGAACTTGGGGCATGGTAGATCCCACAGCCACCTCAGGCAACTTCACCTCTTCAAGCCTCAGTTTGCTTATCTGTAATAATATTAGAGTAGCATAGTGGTTACAGACCATTATGGTTTCAGTGGCTCTGAAGTTCCTCATACTTCAGTTGTGGATTCAAGCTTTGTCTCCAATCTAGCAGCTTCATGAACATGCTTCTATCACCACCTTCAGTCTCAGTTGCCTCCTCTGTAGGAATATCAGTAGTACCTACGGTAGAGAGTTGTCCTAAGGATAAAATGTGATAATGCACTGGTTACACTGTATGCCTTGTGTAACCAATTATGACTATTATTATTAGGTGAACCATATTACATTGCCAAAGTTTGACCCTTTCTGATCTACAAAATCAACAATTCTGTATGCTTTAACCTTATATCTTTTATGGAACTATTATGGGCACTGAATGAGATAATACAGGCACTGTACTTGCTACCATCACATGATAGTGATTATTATTATTATCCACAATTCTGGGGACAGTACCTGGTGTTGAGAATTCAAAGGCCCAAGACACATCAAGAAACTTGATCATTCTCTGTAACTGTCATTTCATTTACTTGTCAGTTCCTATTCCCATCTCTCTTTTTCCTCACCTCCCCCTACCCTAATTGTTACGGTAGAGACCTTGTCTTAGAAATCTTTGTATTTGTAGGGGCACCTGGGTGGCTCAGTTAGTTGAGCGTCCGACTCTTGGGTTCAGCTCAGGTCATGATACCAGGATCATGGGATCAAGCCCCATGTTGGGCTCTCTGTTTCTAAAATAATAAAAAAAAAATTGTTTTAAAAGAGAATCTTTGTGTTTTTAGATTCTAGCAAATGCTAGATACATAATTAACTGCTCAAGAAATGCTGTTGAATGAGTGATTCCAAGAGCTTTATGGGTTTCCCAGGGGTTGGAGGGATTTGCTTCTCCTGTGGATTACTAAGAGAAAAAAAGGAACTAAAGACTAAAATCTTGAACATAACCAAAGAACTTGAGTAAAAGACCCATTTAGGCTTTAATTGCTTCTGTCAAAATGGATCCAATAATCCTAATCTGGTCCCCTCACAGAGTACTTGAAATGCAAACGTGTTGCTGGGAAACAACACATATATTAAAATGGCTAAGATCAAAAGAACTGACAATACTAAGTCCTGCCAAGGATGTGGACCAATTGGAACTCTCATGTATTGCTGGGAGGAATGCAACACCGTACAACCACTTTTAAAAGTACTTTTTTGTAGTTTCTTATGAAGTGAAACATATTTAACCACAAGACCTAGAAATTTCACTCCTAATTATTAACCCTAGAGAAATGAAAACATAGGTTCACATAAAACTTGAATATTTATAGTGACTTCATTCATAATTGTCAAAAACTGGAAACACCCAATGTCGTTCAACAGGTGGATGGATAAACTAACTGTGGTATATCCACACAATGGAATATTACTGAACAATAAAAAGGTGGGAACTATTGATACATGCAACAACGTGGATGAATCTTAAATACATTATGCTGAATGAAAGAAGGCAGACTCAAAAAGCTAAATTCTGTATGGTTCCATTTATGTGGCATTCTGGAAAAGGTAATGCTAAAGGGACAGAAAGCCAATCAATGATTGCTAGTAGTTGGGAGTGATAGGAAGCAGGAGTGAAGTTTTGGGGGCGATCCTAATTGCAGAAGTGGTTGTTCAAACTGTATGCATTTATCAAAATTCATAGTCATGTACACTAAAAAAAATGGAGACTATTAATTATGTAAATTATACCCAAACTGGACTTTAAAAAAAAGAGCTAGTTGCTGGAAAAATGGTTTACAAAGCAAAGTTGTCACTGGCCAACATTATTCCCATAGTAAGGGCCAGTGAAGAAAATTCTCCTAAGAGCAACTTGGAAGTGTGCTGAGCCCGAATGAAATAATAACAATTAATTATTTAATTTATAATTTATCTAATTAAACATTTATGATACCTTCTAAATGCTGGTGGGACAAAAGAAGAACAAGGTATACCTCCTATTCACAAAAGGCTCACAATGTAGTGGGAGTGGGGTAAGAAAAAGAAAATTACAGTATAACAGGATCATTATCTTTGATAATAATTAAAGAATCAGTATATAATTAGACTCTTCACACATCACACAATTAAAAGCACAAGCTAAGCATTATACACTCCTCACCCCTGTACTTAATAGCAGTAGAATGAGGATAATAAAAACTAGCACTTATTGACTGCTTACTACGTGAGAGGTGTTATTCTAAGCAACCATTTAAGCCTCACAAAAACCCTGTGATCTAGGAACCATCATTATCACTGTCCTTTATAGATAAGGCAACAAAGTCATAGGAAAGTTTATTTTCCCATGGTCACACAGTTGTAAAGGGTAGCACAGGGATTTAAACCCTGGTATGATGGTCACCTCCTAAACATGACAGTATACTGTGGCTACAGAGAAACAGTGACCTGGGTCACTTGGACTCCCAAAATTTGGAACTGGTTGCTCTAACTCTGCCTCAGTTTCCCTAACATTGGAGGAGAGAGTCAAGCATGCAAAACTCTCTGTGTAAGACACCAGGGTAAACCACTATTCCTCTTGTGATCCTTTCCTGTGTTTACCATTTAACCCGTCCACCCCCATTACTAAAATAATATGTAATTATAAAAAATGGAAGAAGCAAAAAAAAAAAAAAAAGATAAACAAAATGCAAAAAACAAACAAATAAACCTTCATCCACCCATAGTCTCACCACCTAGAGGCAAATACTCTAGCATTTTGGCACATTTCCTTCTAGTCTTTTTAAGAAATGTCTTTTATTTACATAGCTGAGATAAAACTTAAATGTAATTTTGGACCCTGCTTTTTTTCACTTAAAATCAGAGCATAAACTGTTTGTAAACGCTATTTTAAATGAATGTATAATAATCTATCATATAGATACTCTACAATTTATTAACTATTCCTTCACAGTTGGATATTTAGGTAATTTCCAATATTTTTACTATTATAAATAACACCACTATTAACATTCTAGTCCATAAATCTTGCAGATTATTTTTTTAGGATAGTTTCCCAGAAATGTAATTACTAGGTTAAATGTCAAGAATATTTTAAAGATTACATAGAGATGTAGTATTCTTTACAAATACAAATACATTCTTAACAAATAAATGGAAAGGCTTCCATGGGGTCAAAAGTCATTTGTATGTTTGTTTCTGTGTATAAGTATGGAGTTGAGGGGGTGATGAGAGACAGAATTGGGAACTTTCTCAGTACTTGGTCAGTGCAGTAACCACTTGACTTTTTCTTTTTTGAGCTACTTTCCAATTGTCAGGGGCCCATGATGGTTAAATATTGATCACTGAGTGCCAGAAAATGGAAGCAAATTTCATGTACAGAGTTTGTATACCTTTTGCAAGTATATTGTCCATAGAATCAGTGAGACTTGGCACCTCAGTGTTTTTCCCTGGGCAGCACCTTCACCACCATTTCGTCAAGCGTTCTCATAGCTCCTGGGTGAAAGGGGTTGGGACAGCCATTACCATTCTCAGGTCATTGGTTAGAAACTGAGGCCCAGAAAGAAGTGACTTACCCAAAGTTACAGAGCTGGTTGGAGAGAGCTGGGACTAGAATTCTACTCTCATGCTTCTAGGGTAAAAGCCCCTGTTATAAACTGAATTATGTCTCCCCACCCCCCAAACCCACATCACCCATTCATGTTGGAGCCCTGACCTGCAATGTTACTATATTTGGAGACAGGTCCTATAAGGGGGTAATAAAGGTTAAAAGAAGTCATAAGGGTAGGGCCCTGATCTCCTAGGATTAGTGCCTTTATAAGAAGAGGAAGACCCGAGCTCTCTGCACACGCACAGAGAAGTAGCCATGTCAGGACACAGCAGAAGGGGGTTGTCTACAAGCAAGGAAAAGAGACCTCACCAGAAACCAACCTTGCTGACACACTGATTGTGGACTTCCAGCTTCCAGAACTGTGAGAAAATAAATTTGTGTTGTTTCAGTCACCGCATTTGTGGTATTCTGCTATGGCAGCCCTAGCAGACTAATACAGATTCTGGTATCGAGAAGTGAGGGGGGGGGGGGGAAGAAGTGTGTGGGGGTGTGGTTTGCCTAAAAAATGTGGAAATTGTTTCTGGAACTGGGTAATAGGGAGAGACTGGATAAGCTGTGGGGTGCATGCTAGAAAAAAAAATCCTAGGTTGCCTTGAAGGGACGGTTGGTAGAAATTGAATGTTAAAGGCAATTCTGGTGAGGGCTGAGGAAGGAACGAGAAGAGCTGTTAAAGAAAGCATCTCTTATTTTAGAGAAGACACATATCATCATGGACAGAATGTTGGTAGAACTGTGAACATTAAAGGTGATTCTGGTGAGGCTTCAGATGGAAATGCAAAACATGGGAATGGAAACTGGAGAAAGATGATCCTTATCAGGAAGCAGCAAAGAACTTGGCTAAATCGTGTTCTAGTGTTTCACGGAAAGTAGAAATTGCAAGTGATGAACTTGGAAATTTAGCTAAAGAGATTCCTAAGCAAAGTGTTGAAGGTGTGGCCTGGTTTCTCCTTGCTGTTTATAGTAAAACATGAGGCAAATGAGAGAGGCAAATGGAAGGGATTGGTAAGCAAAAACAAACCAGAGTGTGAAGATTTGCAAAATTCTCAGCCCATCCATGTTGCACAAAACAAGAGTGCATGTTCTAGGGTGTGTCTGGCAAATCACTCTGTAAGGAGGTCACCCATGCAGTGTATCAGCCATCTCAGCAGAAACCAAGAATAGAGATGGGATTTATACCAGCACAGACATGGTCAGTTTGGACCAAAGGGAACAGAGATGGGATAAAATAAAGGAAGGCTATTGGATTTCTGGGATTCTACAGGACAGGATAATAAAGCTATTTGGCTGTGAATATGCTTTATCCTTTAAGAAAAGAGGATTGACCCTGAAGGTGATTCACAGATCATCAGGGCTGCCATTCCCACTATATGCCTAAAGCATACAGCCCAGAGAGCAAGACTATTTATTTCTGGGTTTCAGAGGGTAGGCCTCCTCTTGGTTTCAGGGCTCTGGGCTGTCCCTGCTTAGTGCCTCAGGGGCAGGGCTACAGCAAAAAGCCACAGGGTGGGGCTCTGCCCCCAGCAGAGGAGGCAAGGCTACTGCCTAGTGAGGATGACACTACTGACCAAGTGGGTCCAGAAGGCAGAGCATTCCTCGAGAGGATTATTCTAGAGCTTTAAGACTTAGTGGAATTTTCCTTGCTAGGTTTTGAATTTGTCTGGGACCTATCACCCCTTCCTTCCTGTTGATTTCCCCCTTTTGGAATGGGAATATCTATCCTATACCTGTATTTTGGAAGCATGGAACTTGTCTGGTATCTAGGTAGAGAAGAATTTTGCCTCAGGATAGGTCATACTTGGAGCCTCACCCATATCTGATTTAGGTGATACTTCGATAAGACTTTGAACTTGGAACTGATGCTTGAATGGGTTAAGACTTTGGGGATTGTTGGGATGGTATGAATGTATTTTGTGTACAATGAGCACATGGATTTTGGAGGGGTCAAAGGAAAGAATATTAAGGACTGAACTGTGTCTCTGTCAAATTCATATGCTGAAGCCCAACTATCAGAGTGACTGTCTTTGGAGACAGGGCCTATAAAGAGGTAATAAAGATTAAGTGAGATCATAAGGATGGGGCTCTGACCTGATGGGATTAGTGTCCTTATAAGAAGGAGAAGAGAGAAGAGCTTGGTCTCTTCACACAAGGAGAGAAGACACCATGTGAGGACTCAGTGAGAAGGTGGCCTTTTACAGGCTGGGAAGAAAGATCTTATGGAAAACAACCAAGCCAGCATCTTTATCTTGAACTTCTAGCCCCCAGAACTGTGAAAAAAGTGTCAATCCACCCAGTCCGAGGTATTTTGTTACGGCAGCTCAAGCAGATGATTATAGCCTCTAAATACATCAATGGCTGGGGTGCCTGGGTGGCTCAGTCAGTTAAGCATCTGACTCTTGATTTGGGCTCGGGTCCTGATCTCGCCTTTCAGTTCATGGGATCAAGTCTGGAGTGGGGCTCCACACTGACAGTGTAAGGCCTGCTTGGGATTCTCTCTCTCTCCCCCTCTCTCTCTGCCCCTACCCTGCTCTCATTCTCTCTCACTCAATAATTAAATAAATAAACTTAAAAAATACATCAATGGCAAGACCATATACTTTATTTATCCCATGGGTACCTAATGGTTTTGATAGACCTACCTACTCATCACCTTCCCAATACAGAGTATTTTGTTGAGTTGTACAAACCTGGGTCTGAAGAAAGAGGTGCTGTCAAGGAACAGATGACAAGAGGTCTGAGGCTTGGTTTCTAGAACCAGGCTTTGCCAAACCTTGCCAAGGGATCTTGGGCAAGCCACTTCCCTCTGGTTATCAGTTACCCATCTATAAAATAAGGTATGCTGCATCAGACTCTGGAGTTATACACATGTGGGCTTGAATCCAGACTCTGACATTAGCTGTGTGACCTTGCACACATTACTTGGCCCCTCAGATTTAGTTTTCCCATCTCTAAAACAGGATAAGCGTTAGCCCAGGGTATTACTGGGCTAACTGAAAGATGATGTGCAGAGTCCCTGGCACATTTTAAAGGACAATACAAGTAGTTCTCTTCCTAGATTAATTAATTAATTAAGTTAATGCATGTAAAGTGGTGAGGACAGTGTCTGGCACTTGGTAAGGGCTGTATCCAGTTTAGTTACTTTTTTTTTTTCTTCTTACTTGAACAGAGAGTGAGGTCCTTATTATTATTTTGGAGGCTCATTTCCCTTCATTTCTGTCCAAAGGCCTAACTCCTAAGTATAGCTAATTTCGGTTTTTCCCCAAATACAGCCCGTGGGCTTTCCCGCCCTAGTACATTTGTCTATTCCGTTTTCTCTGCGTGGTGCTCCATTTCTCCTCCTCCGGAGCTCAGATGTCTTCTCTTCTGGGAATCCTCTCTCCGACACCCCCCTCCTCCCAGTCAGAGGAATGGCTCCTAGATTTGTGTCCTGCTAAGAAAACAACTCCATATAGCACTTAGTTCTTTGTGCTCGGTGATTCGGTTAACTCTTTCAGAGCCTGCCTCCAAGAGTGGCGGCCTCTAGGGCACGGTGCTGGGTGAGTAGCCTCTGGGTGTCACCCAAGACGTCTTAGCACGGTGTGGGACAGAGGAAACGGACCCTTGTGCAGACAGGGGTCCAGTTTTAACTCCTAGAAGCCCGAGCCCCCCGACCCTCCCTAGGCCTTGCCCACCGTGAAGCCTGCCCCTCCTCGGGCTCCGACCCTCCCTCCCCCGGTCCCCATTACCTGAGCCGACCGGGCTGCCCAGGGGTCCCCCAGGCTCCTCCTCCGCGGTCCCTCCGCCCCCTCCTGGCGGGCGCGTCCCCTCCTCCACCCCGCGGCGGAGCCCTGCGGAGCTGAGGGCGGAGCGTCGTCGCCGATGGCTGGGAGCCGGGCTGGGAGGCGCTGGGAGAGCAGTGGGTTCCAGACGCGCCGCCGCCTGGCCGGGGGGCTGGCATGGCCGCGTGCTTGTGAGCGCCGAGCGCGCGAGGGGCCGCTGCCACCATGCCCGGGGGCGTGGGCGCCGTCCGGCTCTGCCTGCTGGCGCTCGCCCTGCCGGCGTGGACCAGAAGTAAGTGGCGGGGTGCGGGGGCGCTGGGTGAGGATGGAGATGCGTGGGCTGGGTGGCCGGAGGACGTGGGAGTCGCCCCCTGCAACTCCGCGGGGCTGTTCCCCCGCGGTCCCCCAGCCTGGGAGCCCGGGCTTTGTTCCCACGTTGTGCACCCCGGGAGGTGGTGGGGGTCCGGGAGACCCAGAGCAGGCAGAAAACAGCCGGTCCTCTCCCTGGCTTGCCTCCCTCTCCCTCTTTCTCTTTTCCCACTGTTTTTCTGCTTTTGGCTTCTTTCCGCTGCTTTCCTAGTCTCTCCTCCTTTCTCCAGTCTTTGTGTGTGTGTTCCTATAAATATATATCGATAAAATTGGAACCGTACCATATGCACAGTTTTGTGTCTTGCATTCTTCACTTCACAGTGTGAGCGTTTGCCACATCGTTACATTCTGCAAAAACATGACTTTAATGACTATAGATTATATCAAGAAATCGCAGAAGTGTAATCTTCAAAAAGTTAAAAACATGACTCCTACAAATATAGGATGAATGGGTGGCAAAGATTCCTTCAATTCATTAACGAGGCGGCGAGTAGGATGGTGTAGCTGGTTGAAAGCATTAGAGGAACAGGGGTGGTGCAGGTATCCAGGAATTGTTGAAATCATGTGCTGGGACAGATGTAAAAGTGGTCAATGCCCCATCCAGGGAAACAGCCATAATCCTTAGTTATCTTTCTCCCATACTAAAGTCATTTGCCTCTCTACCAGACAAAAATTTACAGTTAACATGGTAAGTTCACAGAGTATGGTTTTTTAATTCGTGGTAAATTAAAAAAAAAGTCAAACAAATGTGCATTCCCCTAGAAAAATTTGGTGATGTATGAGAGGGCCTGTTAAATAGTGCTCCAGTGTGACATTGAAAGGACATCCTGCTTGCTTTTTGCCTCATTTGCAAGTTTTGAACAATTTTTCTTAAGATATACTGTGTTCCTCTATTATTTAGACTTGCTTTCAGCATTTTTTTTGCAATCATAAAGATAATTTCATTCCTTTAAATATTCCATTAAATATCATATAATTCCTTTTTGTTGCAAAGAATCCAGACTTATGAGAGCCACTGGAGCAGGGACTATGCCTCTCTGGTTTCCCCATGAATATCAAGCACCTAGCATAGTACTTAGTAAATAGTTAAGCATTCAGAAAACATGAGTAAATGAATGCATTGCTTCTGATTTTTACCAGTATGACGATTCTAATGCTAGTCTAATGAGATTATTTTTTTCAGATATATTTTGATTGAGAATACACTATATCAATAATCTGAAAGGAACATCAATCACTCATAATTTTGCCACTCTAACAGAACAGCTGTGGCTATCTTTCATATCTCTCATTGTATTCTATGTGATTGATGTGGTTGGTTTAGAAAGAATAGATTTTTGGAGTCTTCCAAAATCTAGGTCCCCCACCCCAGGAGTCCTATGGATTTAACCTATCCTTGTGGAGACTAATTTGTTTAGGTTTTGGGAAACTACCAGTTTATCGAGGTTATCTGCAAAAGTGAGGTCTGCAGTGCCTAGAACAAATCTCTCCTCAAACAAGTTTCAATTCACCTTTTTTTGCAAAATGGGAATCCTGCTGCTTATCTTGTCTTGAGGATGAAGGAGAACCAGTGGTGATAGTGATTTGGAAAGTAGGAAGTGATCTGCAAATGCAAACTTGCCATTAGGAAGCTCAAGGTAATGCCACGATGCTTTGTGGTTCTGGGAGCAATTTCACGGTGACTCTCCCCAGTAACGCTGTGACATAGGCAGGCGGGTATCATGGTCTTCATTTTACAGATGAGCAAGCTGAAGCTCAGTGGGAATCACCCGTGGGCCTGAATCTGACCCATGATTCTGAACATACCCAGAATCCGACCATTTCATTCTTCTCCACTGAGGTCATTTTAGTCTGAGCCACCATCATCACTCACCAGGTCTCCAGCCTGGCCATCTTGCTTCTACTCTCACTCCCACACCCTCCCCCACTATACCCCCCATCTCCACCCAGCCGGCAGAATGATCTTTTAAAAACTGAATACAGATCATATTGCTCTGTGTCTAAACACCCCAGTGCCTACTGATCTGTTTATTTTGAGAGAGAGACGGACAGAGAGAGAGAGAGAGAGAGAGAGAGAGAGAGAGCGCGCGTGACTGCACGTGTGAGTCGGGGAGGGGCAGAGAGAGAAGGAGAAAGAGAGAAATCCCAAGCAGGCTCTGCACTGTCAGTGCAGAGCCCCATTAGGGACTCCATCTTGTGAACCATGAGATCATGATCTGAGCTGAAATCAAGAGTTGGATGCTTAACCCAGGGCCACCCAGGTGCCCCTCCAAGTCTATTTATAATAAAATCGAGACACTTTCCATGGCTTCTGTGATACAGACCTGTGGCTCTCTTGCTGACCACATCTCCTACCAACTTTGCTACTCATTGACTAGATTCTACCTAGTAAATCTACCAATCAACCACATCTCCTACCAACTTCCCCACTCATTTACTAGATTCTACCTCTACCTTCTGCTTGCTCCTTAAATGGGCCAAGTCCACTTCTGCTCACGCATGACCATTGATTGCTCTTGCTAGCCCCTCTCCCTGGGGCACTCTTCCCCCAGATCTTTGCATGGCTGCCTTCTGGTCTCTCAGATCTTAAATGCCATCTTTGCTGATCAACCTGTCTAAAATAGGCACTTCCTCTTCAGTGTCTCTTTATTCTATGACCCTGTTGGACCATTTGAGAATATTTGTGGATTGTGCATCTCTCACCTCTAGAAAGTAAACTGTGGGGAGTACAGAGACCTTGGTAAGCCCTGTGTACCACTATGTGGCCAACAACTAGCAGAGTGCTTCACTCATAGGAAGTGCCAACATCCTGGCATCCAGCAGGTCTCCTAATGACCCAATAAGGTGTTCTTTCCAGTTGGCAATGCATGCCTAGCTTAGCTAGGGTGCAAACTCCTGGGATACCAATGGTTGTGCATCCTGTATTGGCAGGAGAAAACAGGGAAGACAGCCCCCAGCTGCAGCATGAACTAATAATACCTCAGTGGAAGGTTGCAGAAAACCCCACGAAAGAAAAGGTAAGACCCCAAAATATCTTATTTTCAAAGGCAGGAGCTGACAGCTCCATTCTGTGAAGTGGCGGGCCACCTTCTTAATGTTCCTGGAAGCCCAGTCATCATTATAAGTTCTGTTTCTGACCCACTCTGCATCCTCTCTGTGTATTGGTTTTGAAAATCCCAGATGGGACTTTCCTTCATTGTGTGACAAACTTGTAGAACACTTTCAAATGCTATTAGTTGAGGAAATGAAAATTATTGATGCTGACACAAGCTAAGTGCAAATAGTCACAAAAATCACCATCTCTCAAATGGAATTGATTAAATATTGTCATTGCTATATTTTGTCTATATATACATGCTTTATTTTATTGATGACATAATTTACTTGAAGAGAAAAATAATAATTCAAGCTATTTTTAAGAGTCAGGGAGGGATCTAGTACTGGGAAATACATCTTAAAATGCAGTAGGGCTCCTTGGGCCATAACACCAGAAAAATGCACAGGCTTTCTCAAGGGGATTGGGAGCAAGACAGAAAATATTATCCTGTTATGCAGAGAGGACCTGTACATCTAGGATATTCTTTGTGGTTCTGGTCTTTATAGTTCAAGTGAGTCATGAAAGGGCTAGAAAGTAAGACATGATTGCTGCGTGCCAGTAACCAGCTATGGGACTTTCTACTTTCTGAACTTCAGTTTCCTCATTTATAAAATAGGGCTTAGAAATAGGAAGAAAGGAATAGGAAAGAAAGAAATAGGAAGAAAGAGGACTGTGGAGAAGGGAGAGTTAATAAGGTCCTTTGGGCTCATGATTTATTGGGCAGCATATAAAAGCAGGAAAGACTTCAGACTTTGTGGCTTTTGAGTCTGGAAAGGTAAATGGGGGCTGGGGGTGGAGAAATGCTTGGAATCCTTGAAGTTATGGCTAGAGTAATACAGACATGTCCAAAAATGCTTCAGTTTGAATTTATTAAGGGAACTTCCTGCAAAAATTTTAGGAGGAATGAAAGTAAGTAACATTTTATCCTAAAGACAATAAATGCATGGAATTCATTTCATCAAAAAGTAGGAAAGGCTAAAAAATAGCTTCAGGGAAAGTCTAGACAGATTGATGGATGGCTATCCTAGAGCAGGTTATTTTTAAAAAACAAGATCTTGGATAGTCCAATTTATCCATTATTGCTCAAGGAATGGATCTGATACTTTTTGTAGAGGTTCTGTGTTCCTTTTAGATGTGGGATGCCTAGCATCTTCAGGAAGGGCCTGGGAAACAAAGTGGAGCTCTAGATCCTGTCTTTATTCCTAGCCATTGTCTGCCCTGAACCTGGGTCAAAATATTTTGTAGGATTAGTCGGCACAGTGCCCTGTGCCATAAGTATCCATTGAATGAACAAATGAATGAATGTCAGAGAGAGAGAGAGAAGAAGGTAGGTTTCACTCAGGCCTCTTATTCTCATTTATGTAATTCATTCATCAAACATTCATTGAACATTCACTGTATACTAAATATCGTACCAGATCGTATGGGGGCTGCACATACACAGGACAGATTTCTGATACCCTGTGGAGCTGAAGATATATTTACTTATTTATTTATTTGTTTATTTATTTATATTTATTTTATTTATTTAATCTACCTCTAAAGAGAAAGGAATTTTAACCCTTTCCTGCAGGAAG